CAAGCTCCCACACCTGCGCAGAATTCTGGTGCCGTGTCTAGTGAGTCAACATGTAAAATATGCGAACGGAGAAGAGCCTTGGTATGCATCAAAGCTCGACCTTGTTCAGTCTTTAGCATTAATGGTCAGTGAATATGCATTAAAAACCGGCCATAGCCAGTTGTTGAATTGTTTTAACAGTGAGCTAACTGACAACTGCGACACGTTAGTACCCTTAAGCGCGTAAGATCGCTACTAACAAACGAACCTCGTAAAGAATGACGTGGAGATTTTCAGGGAATGGTCAACTGCCTTGGTATAAGGTGGTTATCTTGTGTTTTGTTCGTAATTTATCAAATGCTATTATTAAAAAACATGAACATTATAGCAAAGAGCAGCAACTATACATTCTGGTCCATATTCTTACAGTACACGACCGCAGAAAACACGCATATGTTTAAAAAATCTATCGTGTACAGCAAATAGATCTGTTACCAAGTTTCATCTATGATTGCAGGAGAGATCAATTGGTGTTCTCCAGGTTAGGCCACTGGTAAGTTAATGGTAGACAACACAATTTATTAGTTTGTTTTTCAGACACAGGTTCATCATCTGACAATCCAAGGACACTGTAATGTCAACTCCTGAAGGGTGCGAAGTTATCGTACAGTGATTTTGCCTACGATGTGTTTTTTATTCTACTCTTACGTACTCCACTCCTCTCCAGGACTAACTTTGTCTTGTTAGCTCAAAGTCTAGAGATGCTTTGTGCTAAACCCCTACTGACTGGATCGTGCGGCAAAGTGCTCCGGCGGTACGGTTTCTATCTCCCTATGCGACAGTGTCTGCCTTTCACATTTGGGGGCTGCGAGGGCGGGCCTAACAACTTTTTGTCCAAAGAGGCATGCGAGCACAAGTGTAATGGTAATTTTCCGCTAGGAGGGGGCAGAGGATTGCAGCCTGTCAAGTCTGTGCGCTGCATGTGCATGGATGCTTTACAGAGCTTATCAGAACTTTACGGTATGGCAATATCTAGGGAGGGGGTTGCGATGGCGTGACAATGCCCACACTCTACTAATGTCAAAGTGTGTAGTTTCTTGCATGCAAAAAGGCTCTCAAGTTTGGTGTTCTGATGCATATGCATGTACTTCTTTGCAAGAGTCAGATTAGATGGACAAAGAAGGTATTTGTTGTCGTATTCAGAGAAGAAGGAGCAAAGACTCCTTAATAAGGGAATGGCGGTAATAGTGGTTTCCTGGAGGGGACCAAAGGCAGCTGTGAGCAAAATCCTCTACGAAGAAGAAATAAAAAAAATTAGATTTCCGTCATTATCTTGTTTGAGCACAACAGTGGCCAGTGAAAATCCGAGTACGTAATTAAAAACAGAATTGACAGATGAGCCTAATCGCAGGCAACGATAAAGTTGAAGTCAATTTACACGCAACAAAAAGAGCAGGAAATGAAAATAGAACATACAGTTACATTTGTAACGTATTAGACCGCATAGAGCCTGCTACGCCTGTCTTCGTGCGCAAAACTTAAC